GTTTGTCAATGCTTCTGCTGAGAAAAGTTCTGTACATGTGCACCGGGAATTTGTGTGAAAAGTTCTTAAATTAAATTAACTGAAGAAATCCACCACACATTCATAGGATATATAAAGCCTGCAAACAGAATACAACCATGACAGCATCTACTACTCACAACTACCTCTATCCATCATGATAATCACAGGGTGGGATCCAAAAGGGCTAATTACTTAAATACACCTCTAGAAATAAGGCTGCAGAGTAACAGTGAACAGGCTATAAATCGAGTACAACCTGAACGTGAGGTTCACTGAGATGCATCTCAGTGGCTACAGGACAAACATGTGTATGGCTGCAGATGAAGGAGGAGTGGTGGTGTGTTTGGTATGAAGTATGAGGTAAGTTCCTCTGTGTCTCTCCCTCTCTTTGTCCCTCACCCTCATGGGAGGCCCTGTTGGTTTAGCTGCTAAGCTTTCCCCGGAAACACAAATGATGGACAGATAGAGAGTTTAAAATAGGGAAAGAGAGGAAGACAAAATGAATGAAGAGAGTAGAAACTGTTTTAAGGTAATTTTTTTAATGTAGCATTTACATTTTACTCATCCCTCAATATGTTCTCTGCTCATCGGAGATCTTAATTTTTGTCAAACTGAAAAATAGTTCAATCCTGTTCATGCTACTTGTGCTATTTACATGAGTCAGCATGTCTGGTTGCCTTAAAGGTTTTGTTTACTGTTCAAATCAGATTTGTGAAGGCACTATTAACTCACTGATTCCTTAACGAGACACCATTAAGACACAGAGAGACTCCGGATTAACAAGTTTAGCTTTTAAGGAGCATTGAGAAACGCTTGTTGTGCGTTTCTCTGCTCGGCGGAATTAAAAGGGTTGAAAAAAAACAGTATTCATTGACAGATTTTGAGCCTAACTGCAAGCGGCAGGGCAGTGTGGAGACACAGGGGGTGCTAATTTGTGAGAACAAAAACAAACCCCTTTGTGGAAATCAGCAGCACTGCTTTGTTTGCCCACAGGAAATTTTGCAGCTAAAAAGTTTCTCTGCAGAGAGAATTTCAAGTAATTTAGCTGTTCACTGATGGATCTTCACATTACATGATTCTGGTTTGATTACAGTGCCAAAAACCACTGTAATTATGCGTTACATCTTTTAAGCTTTTATTAACAATACACTATGTTATTGGATTTTATTACTTAATGTTGTAGTTTGTCAATGTGAAGCCAATTTAGGTACTTTATACACTGCTGGTTGGACTATAGCGCAGCATCATTAATTTGAAAAGTAATTATTATCTAAAGCTGTTTAATAAATGTGTTGTAAAAGGTGCAATGTTTCTCTAAAAAGCAGCATGAAATAAAAATACTTTAAATCAAAATGTGTACTTAAAGACAGTAGTTAAGTAAATGCACTTAGTTATATTCTACCACTGTTTGGACCTGACTGGAATTCACCAGCCTTGACACAAAAAAACAAACAACCCAATCATGTAGTTTCAAAAGACTTTTTGAATTAAGTAAAAGCATGCTTCTAACAGCTAAGAGGGTTTTGTCTCTATATATTCTGTGCTTCTTGGATGAGTAAAACATCATCAGGTCTACAATTTCAGTCCAGTGGAAAGGTCATTTCATCTTGACGTTGATATTCAGCTCCAGCTTGTTCCAGCTTTAAATTGTCTGTCTGCGTCATGTTCTGCATGTTCTGCTGTCCCAGACAGTATATATGTTTGGACGTACAGTATTTGCTATCAGGCTCAGGTCTATAGCTGTGAGAATCCACTGTGAGGCAGTACAGAGTCTACAGTCCAACTTGAGCCAACTCAACTGTCAGGACTTTGTTTTACTCTGTGAGAAATGACAAAACCTTATTTTTTGATGACAAACTGAATCTAAGCTGACACCATGACTTGTTGTTGTGCGGAGGAGTGTGTGACACCTGACATGATTTAGCATGTGATGAAACACCTGACATGCGTCTGCGTGGGAATGTGTGTGTGTGTGTGTGAGAGAGAGAGAGAGAGAGAGACAGATATTAGCAAAGAGAAAGACACAAAAAGTAAGAGATGAAGACTTAAATAAGAATAGAGAAAGAACTAAAGAGACAGACAGACAGTAAGAGAGAAAAAACAGAGAGAGAGAGAGAGAGAGAGAGAGGAGGGGATTGTTGCAAACAGGGATTTGCAGCAGAGGGGAAAGAAAGAAAGGGGGCAGTGGCACTCAGTGACAGAGTGCTATACACACTCACATGCGCACACACACACACACACACACACACACACACACACACTCTGTTTCCTCTGTGTCTCCAAACGTGTCAGTCAACCAGTCAGTTGATTATTTGTGTGTGTGTGGTGGGGGGATGTTGAAAAGAGCTCGAAACCATCCTTCATCTCTATGACCGACGGTAAGATCATTTCATTCACTCTGGCTTGTCTTGTTTCTCATGTCAGGCCTTTATCTTTCCTTGCTTTCCTTCTACTTTTTTCTCTCTTGTGTGTGTGTGTAGCTCTATTTTGGCTGGCTTTTTTTGCCGTGACTCTGGTCCACAGCCAGATTGAGGCCTCCATGGAGCCCTGTCACTGTTTGCTTTCTTTTACAATCCATTTTGAACGGGAGGAAAAACTAATGAGCTGTGCAGCAGAGGCACTAGTAAAAGGTGGATTTTTGATTAGATGTTCATTTTAATACTTTTATATTTATATTTTAATGCTTTTATCTTTGAAGGCAGATAATAGAGTGTTGTTGGAGTGTTGCTTTTTTTGATGTAGTTATCACTGTATAATACTGGAAATACTGAACCTGTCATTGATGTTCTGAGATACTTAGTCTTTTAAGTTTGTTCAACTGTGTAAGAATGTTATGAATTGTTAGATGAATTTTTAATTTATTTGCCACCTTGAAAACAGTATAACCTGTAAGTTATTCTATAATTTTATGTAACTTTTAAGGATATGTCCATCCGAAACAAGTTTCGGATCTTGAATCTGACCAGACTAAACAGAAAAGAACAAGTTCAAAAGTTCTGATATATAACATTTAAGGCTTAACATCAGCTTCAGCCAAAAGTTAGCTCTTTTTTGCCCCTCTGGCCGAATAAAAATGTTGTTTCGTTTCATATTAGAAAGTCTTGGGCTCTGGATTAAAGTCTGAACCGGTTGATAATTGGATTTGGTCTCTGAGACTTGTGGATCTTTCTGTCAAAAATGATTAAGCCCTCTCAATTCTTGTGCTTCAGTTGGTTATGTGTTCAGCAGGCAGATCTTTCTAGAATTATTACATGTTATTTCTATTGTGTGTGTGATTACATTTGGGCAATAACCTGCAATGATTTCTATTTAGAGATGAATACAATGCTTGGCAGGTAAAAGAGGATGAGCCTTTAAAAAATTATATTTTGATAAACAAATTTTTGTATCTTCTTCACACACAGCGTGGTCTCTTTCACAGATGAGATTTGGTATGGCCAGAAAGAGGCAATGTGAGGATCATTGTTTGTCACTCTTACAACAGAAATGATATTGCACGTGTTGAACAGGCAGGCACAAATGATGAAGAACGTAAAAGTTTGGAGACTCAGGAAGTTCTGGTTTGTCTGTAGATGTCACAAATGTTTGCACATGCAGGTGAATGTGTGTATGTGTTTTTAATCCTATACATGCACATGTACGTACCTTTACATAAGATGTTAGACAGGGGGATATGCTGCAGATAAGCGTCTTAATATAACGCATCAAACAGGCCCGACACACATTCTGACTTCATGTTGAAGAAAGTCACAGTGACCTTTTTATCAAGGCCTTTATGTTACAAATTATCTTTTGAACTGAATTGTGAGAATTGTGCAACACAACAGCCAAAACACTTCAGACATCAGTGTTGAATTTTTATACTCCAGACAATGGCATGGGTTTAAGATCTGAATAAACAAATATATATAATAGAAAATGGCTGCCACTGTCTAATAAGGCTTTATCAAGGGTTGAGATAATGTAATTTGTTTATAGGTCATTTACAAGCTAGTTATGAGAACAACTTTCTGGTTGCCAGGTTGTTACAAATCCTCCACCGGCACTGGAAAATGCTTTGCCCTGTTAGCTATCTCTTTAATTCAATATGAAGTACCTTTAAATGGACTTAATACACGAACTTACAGTATTAAGTTCTTGTTGATACGTTGGTGGATTTTGGCGGTCAAACAGTTCATTTTCTGATTAATTTAAGGGATAACTAAAGCAAAGCAAGTAGCCTCTCATGCTTGAGAAAGATTTTACACAACCTGACAACTGACAAAGCTGTTCTTATTAATAGCTTACAGCTTGGCTTAAAACTGATCTATAAAGCATTTGTGAAAGATTTAAAAGGAAGTCCACCAATTTTGGGAAGTAGCCTACAACTGCATATATGAAAAAAGTTGTATAGATTTTTAGTAGAGTCTTTTGTGGCTTCAGAGGGAACTGAAAGTCAGATAAATTACCTCAAGTAATCTGGGAGGGCGGTGAATTTGGACAGGACCGAGTTTACTGTCTGTAGCCCGTTCCTCCTCTCTGCTTGAGGCTAGCAGCTCAAAGATACATTGGCCGCTACTAGCATAACACCTAAATCGAAGGTCGACTTTTTGGCAGTAGAGTTGCATTGTGGGTAATGTAAGGGAAGGCTTTGACAAGGAAGCAGAATAAGTATAAAATAAAAGACAATATCTGTGGTTCTGCTGCATTAGAAAGTCTAATGCTAAATCTGAAAGGCACCTGAAAAACATGTAACACCATTCCTTTCTCTGGTCCCTGTATCCCAAACCCTTTTTTTTTTTTCATTCAGGACAAGAGAAACAAAGACCAGGACAGGGGGACATACAGTTTCTCACAGAGGAAAACCAACCAGTCTACTTCCTGACGTCACTAGTGCTGCTGTCTATGAGCTGCACTGAGGCAGAGGAGTGGACTTTCCTGCAATCCTGACACACGGGAAATCCCTGTTGAAGCTCCCCTCAGCAGCAGCAGCAGACACCATGTCCTCTCCTTCCCTCCCCATGCCCTCTCTCCCCCCCAGCCCTCTGGCCATGGAGTACCTAAATGATTTTGACCTCCTCAAGTTTGAAGTAAAACCTGACACCCCTCCACTCCCTCCTCCATGTGCGTATCCCAAATCTGGCCTCTCCCACGACCCCTCCAGCTCTCCATACACCAGCCATCCTCCGCAGGACTCCAGTTTAAGCTCCAGTCCTTACAACTCGCTGCCACCCTCACCGACGCTTAGCGACGCCCACCCACCACCTTCGGGCTCCTCATCCCTCTCTTCGTCATCCTCCTCCATCTCCTTCCCCCTCTCCATCTCCAACAGCTTCACTTCCTCAGGCATCAGCTCGGGCTCTCAGGGGAACGTGGAAGGCAGCCCGGCCCACAGCGGGCCTCAGGGTCCCACCCCGGCGTCGCTGGAGGATCTGATCTGGCTGGCAGCACTGCAGCAACAGTTTGGAGGAGAGGTGACGGGGCCCGCCACTTTGCTTGGAGCCTTGGGAGGAGTGCCAGAGCGAGGGGACAGAGAGAGGGGCCAGGTGAATGGCTTTCTGGGCTGTGAGGATGCTGTGGAGGCTTTACTGAACTCAGCTGCTGCAGCTGTCAGCTCACAGGTAATCTGTCATTTCTACCTCATGACTCTTCTTCTTACACAGAATGTTGTCATGAACAAGTTGACCTTTATCGTCTCTCCTGTACTGCTTCTTTTTCATCTCCTGTCTCCGTCCTCTCTTCAGTTTCCAGGTCTTTCTCAGAGTTCAAGCAGCAACCTGGGAGACTCAAGCAGCGACAGCGGAGGCGACATCTCCTGCGCCAAAGGGACAGACATGTGCCATCGTCCGCTGGTCTTCCTCTCATCGGCCCCTCCCTCGCTCCCCAACGCCGCCCCCGCCTCAGCTCCCTACCCGCAAGCCCTCAGCCCCCAGGGCCGCCTTCATCACCACCAGCATCACCATCATCAGCACCACCCGCACCACCCCATGCATGGCAGCCATCACCATCATCACCACCCACAAATGAATCAGGTACACGGGGGAATCACTTACGCACGCCAATCCAGATTGGTAGGTTGTTAATGATAATAACGCTCAACAGGAAGATTGAGAGATTTTTGGAGGTGAAAGATTTGATGCGAGAGAACAGTGACACTTGTCACATTAGAGGGCTGAGCGGAAGGAGAGAAGGATCCACCAGGGATCGTGCAGTGTGAAGGATTAGGATTAGGACATTAGAAATACGGTTATTAATGTCTTCTGCCTCTCGGATTGCTCTACATGGCAACAATGAGTGACTTTGAGGGAACAAAGTCTTGATTTTACATTAAAGAAACAGATGTTTATCGGTAACTTTTTACCCCCCTTAGCATTTATAAGCCCTACATGCACATTTAATGTATGGTTTATAACACATTGAGTTTTTAAGTGTTTTTAAATTTTTTAAGTGTTTTTTAATTTACAGTATTCGTCAGTTATTGCAACTTCTGCTATGAAGACATATTATTACAACTGTGTTTTACTGTATTGTCAAGTAAGGGTTGCCCATGGGAGGAGATATAGTTTTTGACAAATGAATAAATAAACATTTGTTCACAACTAGCCAATTTTGTACCATTTTTTTAAAAGAATTCAACATACTGCTTATAAATGCAAACAATTGGGGTTTATTTGGGGCTTTTTTTTTGCAATTTTAGATCCCTCTGTATTTGAAAATTCCTCCACAGACACTTTATAACAAGCTTTGATCATTTACACAAGCCAGTTCTTAATCTTTAAACTGATTAAAATGGATAATTATCTAAAAACTAACGCTTTAAATCACCAAATGTGCTTAGAGGAAAAATCAATTGCAACTTAATCAAACAAAAGTCTTGAATGCTACTTTCTGAATGTGATTTCAATTGGTAAACAAACTGTAATCTGTGTTCTGGTCGATCAAGATGTCTGGCTGGATCTCTATATGGAGCACAGTGATGGCTTATGATAATATCTGCTATTATTGCTGTGCCTAATCCTGATAACTGTCACCCACACTTTGTCAGATTACATGGCAGATTATGGACATGTGGTGCCGAAATGTGCCCCCTGACAGAGACACACCGAGTACAACGCATCACGTGTCCACCAGTCATACCCCAGTTAGATATTTAAGTCTGAATCTTGGATAATACACTCATCTAACTGTGGACACTTCAGTCATTCCCAAGCATGTGTCTCACTGCCAATGAACACTGAGCAAAAGCATATTCTCTCTGTTGTGTTTTCTCCATCTGCTCGGCAGTGCGGGGCCAATGAGCGCTTCTCTGATGAGCAGCTGGTGAGCCTGTCGGTGCGGGAGCTGAACCGGCACCTGCGCGGAGTGAGCAAGGATGAGGTGGTGCGCTTGAAGCAGAAGCGACGCACGCTAAAGAACCGCGGCTATGCCCAGTCCTGCCGCTACAAGCGCTTACAGCACCGCCACGCTCTGGAGTCAGAGAAACATGTGCTCACACAACAGGTACACACACACACACACACACACACACACACACACATATGCTTGCATTTATGACAAGCTTCCTCTCTCAGTCTGCGCTCATTCAAACTGTGTCTGACTTAATCCTAAATCCAATTTAATTTAGAAATTTGGACTTTATGATGAGGAAAACAAAAACATCCAGTGTCTGGCATTATGGCCTCAATCCCAGCCTATACTTCCTGATGGTATATGTAGGGGCATTGGACTGTGGAGGAGGGGTGGTGGCTGGGGGGACATAAAGATATTAGAACATATAGCCACTGATGTGGGCAGGGGCCCAGAGAGAAAGCTTATTTACAGGGCCCAGATTTTTGTGCGATGCCCCTGAGTATATGGCCTGAATACTAAGTGAGCATCCTTGCACTGTGGCTCTCTCAGAAACGCTGATTGTGTCCTCCCCTCCTCAGCTGGAACAACTACAGTGCGAGCTGACTCGAGTGCTGAGGGAGAGAGACGCCTACAAGGCCCGCTACGAGAAGCTCCTCAGCACGAACCACGGCATCGGCGGCGACGCCCCACCGACCCGCAACAGCAACCCACCTTCCCCACCCCCTGACTACTTCCTCTGAGTGTAACCCACAGGGGAAGGGAAGAGAAAGAAAAAACACACACAGAGGAATGAGTAACAGACCAGCCAACATGGAGCAAATCAATGATGAGTAATCAGACTTGGGGAAGAAAACAAGGATGTGTATGTGTGTGTGTGTGTGTGTGTGTGTGTGTGTGTGTGTGTGTGTGTGTGTGTGTGTGTGTGTGTGTGTGTGTGTGTGTGTGTGTGTGTGCAAGTCTGTGTGTGTGAGAGAGAAAGTGACAGCGAGACACTGGCGGGTGGTTTTGGGGCGATACAACTGTGAAATCCACCCCTGAATTGATTCAAGGGGAGCTGACTGTTAATTCATAGGGTTAGACTCAGCTCTAGGCTGCCTCACGGACACAAGTTTTACTTCACTGTGAATGATATAGTTGCACAAAAACTGGCTAAGAGCTCTTTCACGTATTTTGCTTGTGATCTCGGTGCTACAGCGGACAAAAACGACTATGAAAATGGATCGAAAAAAGCTTTACCTTGCATTGAAACATATCAATAGTCCCTGACAGCGCTGAGCATATTATCTATGCAATATTATCTAGCTGCAATGTACTATCTCCAAATGAGTGGTTGAGGCTCAAACTGTAGTTGTGTTTTTTTTTTTATAATAAGCTGCTAAAGCTGCAGAAGTCTGAGTAGTGCAGTGGTGCTGGATGTGGAGTGGTATGGGCTTGGATAAAGTATCCACGGCATGCAGTTGTATTTGCCAGCTAATATTTCACAGTTGCCTACCAAAGTGTTTAAGCTCACCAAGACTTGTTATTCTTTGTAAGATGAATAATCATAGATTAAAGAATGTACAAGGATACCTTTCATGGGAACCTACCAGTGATTGTGCTAAATCAATAGTGGGGATATTGCTCTTTTGTTTTAGCAAAAAAACTAATCGGAAATGGCGACTTTTCAGCCATTAACAGCAACAGAAAAAGACTTGCTGTTTGCTCAAGAAGGGGAGCTGGTGTGCTCGACTAAAGCAACTCTCGGACTTAGAGAGAAAGAAACCCATCGCAGCAGGCGAAAAGAGTGTGGCATGATTTGTGTGGTTGTGTCCAGTTCTCCAGACTAGAGAAGCTATTTTTGGGCTGATTGAACACCTCTGTAACAGGGACGATCACCAAATTTACGCAACATGTGGCACCACAGAGCTGGTCACTGTGGACTCGGGTACCGTGGGCTATGGATGCAACAGAAAATTAAAGGTGCAGGGATAAAAGAGAAAAAAATGCAAAATATATCTTCGTGGTGACACCTTCTTAACTGTCCCATGAAATCATTGCCAGGGTTCATGCATTAGAGCTATTTATTTTGTTTGGGTGTAGGTTAAATAAATTGTTATTTTATTTATTCACTTATTTATTCAGTATTTATTGTTTATTTATGTACTGATTCTAATTATTTTACTTTACTGGTTTTATTCCATTAGGGTGTATTTTTACTTTCCTACAGTTTATTATTTTATCCAATTGTGATTAGAATTAACATTATTACAGAAATGATGGCCATTTCCATGGTTTCCTGCTCCTGTTGTAGTGTGGTTTCATATGCATATGAAATAAACAAAGTACTTTACTATCCCTGCCATGCTGTGGTGTGTTTTTGTGCACCTTGCACACAGGTTTTAACCTCATCTCTCTTCCATTCACCTATCTGAGCATCTCCCACTTTCAGTCTTCCGCAGGCCTTTTCTCTGCAGCCCCCCACGCCCTGCTCCATCCCTCTCTTTATCTCTGTCCCTCTATAGTGAGGCACTGACCCTGGGTGTGCACTGTTTGGGATGACCTCATCTTCAGCCCTCCCTCCCTCTCTGTGTCTCTCGCTCTCTCTCTCTGGCCTGTATAATAGGAGCAGGATTAGGGCTATAATAGCGCCCTGGCTGCTCACTGCCGGAGTCTATTGTGGCTTTGTGTAGGAGGGACGCACCACCGCTCATGGCCACACTCACATTTTGACAGAAAACATGTCCAAACAGGCTACACTCCTTGGATCGGGGGACTAGAAATTACTTGATTTCATAAAATGGAAATGAGCCGGTCAGTGAAAAGGTCATGCGTGTGTCCAACAGACACAAGGCAGAAAGAGGCAGGTAGGTAGGTTGTCATGCCTCTTTCTATGAAAGGAATCCCCAGATGATACATTATAAACATATATCCCACCCAAGGACACACACACACACACACACACACACACACACACACACGCACGCACGCACGCACACACACTCAAATAAACAAAGCCAATTAGTGAGGGAGATGACTGATGTTATGATGCCCCCTAGCGGCCAGTTTCCACATCGTCTCCATCTTCCAGAGGTCAATGAGAGCTTCGTGAGCATCTTTTTACAGTGCGGCTCCCTGCCCGCCTCCCAGCATCACTGCTCCACTTTCATCACTGAGCTGCACCTGCAGCAAACACTCACAGCGCGTCTTGTCGGTAGCTATAGCTCTACCTCTCCTCTGCAGAAAGCCCAAACCTTTTGCGTGTCAAGTCAGTGAGTCATAGTCAGCCCGGTGATGTGTGACGGTGCTGGCTGCAGAACTGGACCTGGGCCCTAACCTGAGGAGAAAGAGTGATAGTGGAGAGAAAGAGAGAGAGAGAGAGAGAGAGAGAGGAGCAGAGAGCGCGCGATCAAGGCAAGAAAGAGAAAGAGACCGTGCTTACTTTGGAGTTGCCGAGAACCGCGTGACAGTGCTGCTTGGGCCGGGCTTCATAAAGTGTGTGGGGTGTGTGTGCGCGCGCGCGTGTGTGAGGGTGTTCCGTGTCTTTTGGAGTCCTTATTCCCGGTCGCTTGATTTCAGTTTGCAGATGCCGACAGATGTGCCCGAAGACAGGCTCAACATCGAGGAGAAAGCGACGAAGGTAGGATGCACTGGGCTACCCGAGCTCGGAGCACGGCTCCAACATCCAGTAATTAATCAGCCAATCAGGTTAGGGGCAAAGTGGTGGGATGTGGTGTTTGATATTCTGGGGTGTGGGGGTGTTATTGAGCAGTCAGTGTGTGGATGTGTTTTAGAGTTGGTGCAGAGAGGAGGTATCCTGCATTCCATCAACTTCCTCATTTTAATCACCAAATCCAACTTTTGGCTAATTGGGGATTCTTTTTGTTTCTTGTGCGTCATTAAAACGGCCATTGTCATAGTCAATGATTTTGCAGTGACAATTTACCAGTGTCACTATGACACTGTGTCATAGTGACAACCCACAGAGAATTATCACTTGACTCCATAGGCTTTCCCCTTCAAGGTGCCTTTTAACAATTTATTTTGGGGGGGAGGGGGGTTCGACCTAAAACTTTAATGTTTGTGTTAATGGTGGCAGCTGTCTTCTGAGGAAAAGCTCTCAAAACCCACTCAGAACCAAATGGCAGACAAAGTTAGCGACCAACTTGTGAACATAGTGGCGCATTTAGGAGCTCAAGAGTCAGATATTTGTCTCAGAAGTTTGTGGAGACCAAAAGCAGAGCTAAAAGGAGAGGGAGTGAGGAGAATGAGATGATTGTCTTTAAAAGTCCATCAAGTGGACTCCACATGAATAATAATGTTACTCTGTATGTAAATAGCCAAATGTTGCTCACAAGTGAGCTTAAAAGGTACATGTTTACAGCTGCCCCCAAGTGGAAAAAATCCCTTATTGGAGGTTTAAAGTGGCAGTCTTGTGAAGAATACTACTTAGCCTGTGTAAAAAAAAAAGCAGCATTATGTATTCTGTGTCTTTGTAGGCACTTTGTCAATTTAATTTGAAAATGACCCTGATGATGTCACATGAGTTATTTTAAATTGGGCTTGAGACATAAGTATTTGACATAAATCCTGTGTTAGAGCCAAACTGGAGGCGTGACGTTTGAAAGGTGGGGGCATTTAAGAGGCAGGGAAAGTAATGAAAGATGAGTTGTGCTATGGGAATTGTAGGAGCCAGTGTTTGTGAAGCTCGACTCATATAAGGGACTAAAAGGCAGATATCTCCACCCCAGTCCCCTGCCTGACTTTATGGAGGTGCTATAGCAATACTAAATGACTCGATTCTCACACAATTGTGCAAATAGGCTTTGGTTCTGGCTGTTATATGAGAAAGTCCATATATGAATACAGACTAGCTTTAAGTGTTATGAAATGAAGAGCGTGCCCCTCCATGTTCCTCTCTTCTCCAGTGCGACAGTATGACTCTGTCCAGCACCCCAACTGTGCGCAGAGGAAGCACTCCTCTGCCAATTAAGCACCAGCTGAGACGAGAAGAAGCTGTCCACGATGACTGCGATTGGACATCAGGTGCAGCTGGACCTTCTGCTTCCCCAATCACCTTCAGCCCAGCCTTGGATGACACTCTGACCGTGGCTGTGGAAGGCAGACCTGATGGGCCTTTAAGAATTGCCTTGCTGGGGCAGAACGGTGTGGGGAAGTCTTCTCTGGCCATCGCCCTTGCTGGGGACATGGACAGGACTGCGTCTGTGGACTCTGAAGGTACAAAGCTTTGTGTGTGTGACAGGACTAATGCACAGCAGCATAATGCAGTGGAGAGGCACCTGCAGCACTGTGAGCAGCAGGTAAATAAATCACAGCACCCATCTCCCATCTGAGACCTAACTGCTGCTCTCTCTGTCGATAGGGGAGGGTTATGTGCGCACAGTCACCGTGGATGAAGAGGAGAGCACCATCATTATCTATGACAACTGGAGACAGGTGAGCCAAACAACACTTCCCCGTTCCCACACTCCCTGCTCTCTGCTCCCTCATTAGGCCACTGAGCCCTCGCTGCAGCTGTACATGCTGGGCTCAGCTGGTTTTTGTTATTTCACTGTGGTATATATATATATATAAACCCTGTACTCGGGATAAGCGGTTGATATATATATATATTTACTTTTCCTACAGCCTCATTTTATTTTCTTAATTTGAAGCCCTTATGTGCTACACATGATAATACAGTGCTTTATCAGGAGATAAGCTGGAAAAATAGTACCTGGCCAAGTGCGTGGAGAGAACTCTTAAAACCTAAACAACATCCATGAAGCCATCCATTCATACATCAATTACAACTTAGCATATCCCAGAGTACAACTTGTGCAGTACAGCTGTGTTAGTACTGGCATGATGAATGGAAATATAAAGTTAAATGACAGAGGTAGATCACCAATAAGGTAAACACTCAAGAAAATGAAATGAACTACAATACACAAATAGCTTCCTACGGCATATGTAGCATATTTTAGATGTGTTCACATATATATATATATGTATATATATATATATACATATATATATATATATATATATATACATATATATATGTATATCTGGAACACGTTGCATTGTACTTGACATTAATATAAGAAACAACATTATGCCATGCTCAGAGAAACACTGTGGCAAAAAGAGGACAATAAATCTGCTGCATCTGCATCTGGTTCACCGAGGAAAGCTTATTATCATGTTGTTTTGCACCCATTTCCCTCTTTTCCCAGGAGTGCTGTTCAGATGCATCTGTGTATGGATGGGAGAGAGGGGGGGGGGTGGGCTGCCCACAGTGCAGATGTGCCAAATGACTGCATGTGATTCTAATGCGTTACTCTTTGTATAAGGAGTAATATTTGTTGTGAGAGACTTTAATGTTCGCCTGATATGGATCCTCCTTATATAATTGTAATATAACCTTCGGTGCAAAAGTTGCCTTTGGTCTGTGCTCAGTTCTTGACTTAATCAAAATCAAATGTCAATGGACCATGGCAGCTCTAACTAAAGAGGTTTAGTGAGTTTTCTACAGTGTGAAGGATTCCACTCAGGGATATTTTATTCTTTGGGATTTGTGTCTTTCTCTAGCTTGGAGAGGATGAGTGTATGTGTGTGTCAGAGAGAATTTGAGGTGCACTACAGTTGGTGTTATCTAGTAATTTCTCACTAAACCACAGAGGATTTTAAATAGAGCATTCAATTGTCTGCTGTTTCTCCAATAAGGAGAATAACAGTGGAGAGTCAGGAAAGTCAGACTTTTGTGTTTAATCTCTGTTACTCAGATTTCCTGATTGGTTTTGGTTTGATAGTCAGTCTTCGTGATTCCTGGTAGTACTCATGTGTAGTACTTTGTTTCAGTATGTGTTTTAGTCATTAGTTTTCTTAAGAACAATTATCATACTAGTTTCCTGACATTTAAGTGGCAGCTACAGTATTCGGAGCGTCTGTCTGTCCCTCAGGACCTGTCGGCTCTGCTGTGTGAGGTGTGTGTCCTGGTGTTTTCCGTGACTGACAGGCGTAGTTTCCACCGCACTGCTCAACTCCGACTTCTCCTGAGGGAGACTCAGCCCCAAACTCCCATCATCCTCGTCGGTAATAAGAGTGACCTCGTTCGCACACGTGAGGTCACCTGTCAAGGTAAGATGAACCTCCATTTGCATCTTTACTGTATTGACCTTTTTCTCACCTGCCTTATTGTTTCCTTCCGTTGTGGCTTTCATCTTCACAGTTGCTGTTGACATTTTCAGCTCTATATTTCTGTCAGCAAACACTAACATAGGGTGAAATATGTGAAAATTTAAATGTCAGTGTCTCAGCTTCATTGTGTGGGAGTACGAAGGGAGTCACAATCACAGTTAAAGCAGGAGAGCATTTGTCACACAGGCTGTGCAACACTATACCCTGTGCAGCTTGTATGTGGCGCTCCTTCCAACTTAAAGCCCCTGAAAACTCAGTTTCAAACCTTAAGTATTTAACACAATCAAACAACAATCAAAGATACACTTAAACAGTTTAATGTCCATAGTTGTTCTTTATTAAGATTAGAGAGTTGTGTAATGGAAGGAGTTATTTTGGGTGCCCATGATCTTTCATAAAAGGCCAAATGTACAAGAATGTGAACATATAAACTTAAGGGAGAAGAAGTTAAGTACGACTCCCAAGGTGCACTTAGGTCAATTCACGATGTCTGGATCAGTTTTGGATGAATTCACCAACTAGGGTGCCACATTTGTTCACAAAGTCACTCAAGCATTGTATAGTAGTATTAGGAACCTGCCATGACAGAATGATGGACTGAAGATGATTTCTCAGACAACAAAGTTGAAATAATTAAAGCGGGCTGCCACGACATAAGCTGATATGATTGTTCCATTTTCCAGGAGAGTCACGTATTTCTATGTTGAGTAACAATAAACATTTTAAAAGGGAATACAAAACTCTGCCCACTGTGAATGTCCTTGTAGGACCCTATTGCTTATAGCAAGAAAATCAGTTTTTGTGACCTTTAAATTCATTTACAGTGTTTACAGTTTACTGTCTTTCCCTAGAGACTCATTTAAGTAAAACTAAGATATCTACCGTTTGTCATAGTGTTTTTGTAGATAAAACCTTCTCTACTAACTTGCTTCAAATGAGGCGTTCTAGTTTAAAGGGTGTATCAGATGGTGTTTTGAAATAATGCATGGAAACTGACTAGTGATTCAGTGAAACTAACATTGCTGCTGTTAACACTGGTCCCATCTCCTCCCAATCTCTCTCCTCAGAGGCCATGTCCAGCGCTGCCCTCTTCAACTGTCTTTATCTGGAGATCTCTGCCTCTCTGGACCACCGCACTCCAGAGCTCCTAGAGTGCGCTGTGCGGCTAGCCCGGGGCCAGCCCCCCTGGCCCCCAGGAACCAGTATGGAGGACATGAGCGGCGGAGGCCAACGTGAGAGCATCACCTCCCGTGCCAAACGTTTCCTCTCCAGCCTGGTGCCCCGGTACCCACGAGAGCGAGAGGTGGGCAAGTTCCTGAGGCAGAAGTCCCGCTCGTGCCACGACCTGGGGGCGCTGTGATCGGGCGCCACAGGAAGTTTAAGGGTTAGATTGTTAACAGAGGTAGCTGGAAGGGATGTAGTGTACCAACAAAGAGAGGAAGAGGGAGTGATACAGCAAAAAAAGAGGGGAGCAACAGAGGTGGTGTGAAGGTGCCAGAGTGGCAGGACAATGTTGTGAGTGATCATCATGTGCATCCAGCAGAGGAAAACAGGGAGGATGATGTTGATAGGCTGATGGAGAAATGTTGTACACCAGACCAAGAAGCGATGAGAAGGTGGAGGATAAAATGCTGTTGTAGAGCACATGTAAATAAACTATCGTAGTGATACATAACTGCCACCCTCATAGCTTTGACAACTAAATAAATTGTTTTTTTGAGTCTTGAGAAAGTCACTGTATGTTTGCCTTCTTATTAAAACTATTTGTCGCCTTCTGCTGATTACAATGAATAGGGAAGCAGTAATCACATAACATTTCAAGCCCCGGATAAAGTCATGACCACACACATTCAGAACTCATTAGTGACTTTGGTGATGATTCATGTTGTGCTCATTTACTCTCAGCTACTGCCGTATCCATGGGGATGGAAAGCAGTAAAATAGTGAAATGCCAGCAAGGATGGAAGGAAATTAAAGATATAAAAACTGGACCTGGCAGTAAGAGACAGAAAGTCGGATTATTGTATATAGACCGATTGTTGCCATGTTACAGTTGTCAGGGAGACCTTGAATCACAGACATACACATATGTCCACGTCAGCACTGCGGCTATACGTCTACTCTTTATGCTGCATATAGATTTCGAGATGGGAAGGCTCATTCCCATGCAGTAAATAGTATTTTTAAACAAATTTAAATGCAGAGGATTTTTGTCAGGTATCTGCTTCTCTGCACTCATCTGTATCACTATCCACCCTCGGCACTTTCATCCTCCCACTCCCCACCCACACGTGAACAAAGATTTACCACATCACAGGTCATTATAACCATCATTTCATATCAAAGGGAGAGAGCTGTGCTATAATAGAAGTAAAAAATAAAATGGTGGCATGATATTCTGACTCATTCCCTTGGCTGCAAACTACTGGAACAGATTGAAAGGTTAAGATTTTGGATCGTACATGAGATACAGGCTCCCTCTTGTGGCTGAGTTGAGGTCCCACAACCGAGCAGATAATGCAGATATGGTTGAAATGGCAAATATAAAAGGAAAAGGAGCTCTGATAGTAGTCCAAATTTCTGAAACAGTGCAGTTGGTGAAGTGTGCGTTGAGAGTATGCATGTAAAATTAAATAGGATGCTATGAATGACATTCCAACAATAAACATGGGTGCATCAACCCTATAGATGGTAAACACGGTATGCACCAGAGTTTTTAACTTTCTTAAAAAAAACCTTTGGACCGAGGCAGGCTAGGCTTTTCTTCAGGTCTTTGTGGTAAGCTAATCTAACCAGCAGTAGCTTCAGCTTTTACAGACAAGAAAGAGAGCAGCACAATCTTCTCATCTAACACTCCATCTGAAAGAGAATAAGTATAAATCCCAGTTTCTTTGAAAATGATTTGACTAAAAGCAATAGTTAAAGTTGGTGTGTGGAAACAAACCTCTGTCACATGTCTCATTTTGACTTGCCACAGGAGAAAAAGCAAACGTGAACATTAGCCAAGTTCCATTAAATACAGCCATTTATGTTATTACACCTGTGCTTTTCTTGCTATGACATGTTCAAATGTCTGCTGTGAAGAAGAAGATCTAAAAATGGGATTAAACAACCACAGGCCTTTAATAAAGAATTCTAATGGTTATTTTTAATGGAATGATTTATGTGTGTTAGAAAATACATTGTTATTGGGTTTTCATGGTAAACAAAGACATGGCATTGACAGAGGAGCTCTAAAAGAGCACACTAGGCTCACAGGGGTCTTGAGCCACTTCAGAGGCTGCAGGCCTGTAACTTCTTGTCAGCCAGCTTGAGAGACACCCAGGTGTTGAGCATGGAGGCCCTCAGTTTGCACCACACCAGGTGATCGGTCAATCCAAAGATCTGCGCAGCAAACTGAGCAGAGGCTTCGGGGGAGAGGATTGTGGAGCAGCCAAGACCTGCAGGGAGGAAAACAACAAGCAAGACTAAGTTACTATGATGCATAAACACACACACAATTTCAGACATAATATAGGAAGTGTTGGGCTCACCGCTTGGCATACGGAGGGATGACCAGACATCTTGTGCACCCCAGTCTGGAGTGAGAGGTGGGCAGTTGATGACAGGATATGCCGTGTTTCCAGACATCACCGGACCAAGGCCGTTACTTCTGCCAGCTACAGCCACAAACACAGTGGGTACGCCGTCACCTGAGAAGAAGCATTTACATACTTTATGATAGATGACAAAATTCTTGCGGCAAATCAGCTCACGTAAAAAACTAATACACACCTTCACATTCTGCTTTGATGCGCAGCGTCTCATCTGGACCTTTGTGTGCCGAGGTGACTCTCAGGGTGCAGGGAATCCCGTACGAGGCACAGGCCTTCTTGATTTTTTCACAGTGAGCCATGTCCGAGATGGAGCCCATCAAAACCACAACCCTGCCGCTGGCCTTGGGCTCCAGCAGCAGCTTGACACACAACACAGCACTCATTAGGCTCCATGCAAGTCCCAGTTTGGAAGTCCACTTAAAGTAACTTTAGCAGTGGCCACGGTGGCTACAAACACTGGATAATGAGAAATGCTAAAACACAACTAAAGAATCTTCAACACAGGGAAATGGCTCAGTAATGTCTGTAACACAGAAAACTTTCACTCAATATTGATAACATAAGCTACTGGTCATACCAGACCCAATAAAGCTGCAGCAGTAAAACCACTGAGTGTACTGAATTGAGAAAATTGTGTTTAATTGCCCATGAATTCAACTGTCCATTTTGTGAGGGAAAGAATGTCTCATTTCTTCGGTCATGACTTACATAGTCACTTTAAGGTATGTTTGTAGAACCAATCTTTAATGTAAAATTAATTCATAAAAAAAATACAAAAGAAAAAAGGCACCTTTTAAACACCTCTTGATTTGAAAGCTCAGATAACTGCTTTATAATAAACTATTGTTTGTCACGGCATGTTGATTAAAAGTAAATGAAAGCCTGTCCTGATAAAGTGCAGACCGAGACGATAGGTTCAGCGTACCTTGACCCTTTCAGAGACCCACTCAAAGTTTCTCTTCACCATCTGCATTGCCTCAGGGGTAACTTCTTTAAGGTCTCGGTACACCTAGAGAGGAAAACGAGTTATTTCCGCTTTTATCTCAAGTCTTAAAAAGCGTCAAAATGAAACAGCACGACCAAAAGAGAAGTCCTGACCTGCTTATCTTTCTGCTGGCTGCGATCTCCCGCCGGCCACAGCCTCCATGAGTCGTTGTCGATCACATCAGCAAGGACGATCTCTTGAGTCTTCACATTCACGCCAAACTCGATCTATAAGCAAAAGGAAGAATAATCCTCCTAAATTGCGAAGCAGCTTCAAGAGTTCAGTGGTCACGCGAGGACAACAGAACATCCAGCAGAGGGCAGCGCTGCGCTGCGTACCTTCATATCCACCAGTGTGCAGTTCTGAGTGGCCCAAGCCTTCTCCAGAATCTCAAAGATGGCAACGGTGCTTCGATTCATGATGTCCACCTCGCACTGGCCGATGGTGAGCCCAGCCAGAGAGAATTTGGCCTCCAGCAGCTGCTCCTCTGACCACTGGGGGTCATTGTTGGCATCATCCTACGTCAGAAAGCAACCGATTACATAAAGATGGAGGTGATTTGACATTGGGCTACTTTGAGTCAAGTTACAGCACTTTAAAAAAAAAAAAGGACTGAAAGGTCTCAGGCTCACTTTAAAGAACATCTCCATCTTCAGGGGGGAGAAGCGGTAGCCTTCTTTAACTCCTGGATTCCTCTTGAGGAATGATCCAGTTGCCACTCTCCGACACACCCACTCAATGGGAATCATCTCACAGTGGGCTGCGATGAACGCTGTGTCAGAGTGCTGCTTCACAAAGGCAGTCTTAATGCCTGGAAGAAAGGGTAGATATTAAAATGACACAGCCCTTTGCAGCTCCAAAACCCCAGACCTCTAGACTCTAAGAAGAGCTGTGAACAAAGTAGAGGAACATCTGAAACTCAGCATTAAAGTTTTATCTGCCAGTGTTCATTTGGATCACAGAAAGAGGATGAAACACACCAGCAGCCGGTTGCGTACATAGCACCCATAGTTATTTTAGTTGTGTGTTGTGCACCACGGAGATAAGTTACAACATAACTTCAATTAACAACTAAAAAGTTACACATCCCCCCCATTTTAAATCATAAAATGTCACAGAATTATACTCACTAATGGTAAAACTGCAGTTTTCTGCCCCACAGCATCATTGTAATCACAGTAATCCAGCAGAGAACTAATTTATTGATACGATATTTCAATATCGATCCCGCTTACTATGACAAGTAGCTCATGCCAGCCAGAAAGCTAACCATGTAGGCTTATGGTAACCATGATGATGGAACTCCCATCTTTGATTGTTGATTGGCCCCTTGCCTTAGTTATGACTTAAACTAGTTAACTCCTGCCCCAAGTAATCGTGGCAGGACCAATTTTAGCAGCTTATTTAGTCACAAACTAACTCTAGTGTCTACTTTACATAGCTGGTGCAACCCAGTGTCATACTTTGAATGTGTTCACCTACTTTAAAGATCATACCCCTTAACTGAAGGTTAAGTGAGGGGGATGTGGTGGGTCACGTTCTGGTGAATTATACGCCTCAACATTTCAAGTCACAAGACAGCCATTACCACAGCTCGGCTGACGACGTGCACCACACTCATGAGTGGCGCATGGTTTACAGTTACCCAAATACTTTTTGGTAATCTGGGCTTCTTTGGACCCAGTGTCAAACATGCATGTGTCATCCCCCTTCACATGTCAACATTACTGGATGCTCTGTCAGTTCTGGACATGCATGCAGGAGATCAGTTCAGAAGTGCTGATATGTGTTCTTTGGGCGGAAGCTGAAATAAAAATAAATTAACAGAAAATTAAATGCCAATGATTTTTATTAATAATTCAGACGATTTAAAATCACAATTAACCCCAAAATTTCTGCTCCCATTTTTGACTTTGATGTTACTGCTAAATAATGTTTGGGTTTTTAATTGTTTAACAAAACAAGCCATTTGAATGATTCAATTTGGCCTTTAAAGAATTGTGAATGGCATTTTTCTTTTTCACCATTTTCGAATCATGTAAATAAGTGACAAGATGGCTGAGAACTACATCTACAAACCATGTTTTAAAATGCTGAAACTGGTAGGACAATTTCCCAGCAGCTAAGAGAGAACGTACAGGTTGTCTTTCTTTTTGACTCCAGTGATCTACCTCACTCACTAAAGCCCACAAATAAACCTAGTGGGGTTCATTTATTCAAAGAAAGTTGTGTGTGAGGGAGTGCTAATAAAAATATACCTTCATTCAACAGTAATTACACCCTTCTTCAGGCTTGAATCAGCTCACAAACAATATTTCTCAACATGTGGGAAAGTTGCCTCAGAGGGTGTATGACACACATAAGCTGGCAGAGGATCTTTTTAATGGATCTACTTACTATAACAACTTCACTGGGTCCTCACCTGATTCCTGGAGCAGCTTGAACACACAGCTCGTCGTTTTGTTGGCGATGGCAGCCTTGCCCTCCATCTGGTCCTTCCTCACCGCATTCCCGGCGGTGATCTGGTCTTTGGACTGGACCAGAACCAGTCCGGGCTGGTCCACGAGCTCGAAAATCTGCTTCGTCTTTCCCTCACTTAACTTTTGGCCGATCTTCAACTCTAAAACACGCGCACACAAAAAGGACAAGCCCCAATGAAACACTGCACATTTAACATTTATAATGCGCTCAAACATGCACTTGTTGCACTGTACCTGGTGGGGAGGCCATGTTGGTGTTCTTAAGCAGCCTGCAGTCCTGAAAGACAAAACACAAAGTGGACTAATGTGCTACTCAACTCGGCTAAGTTTGAGGGTGAAGGAGCAGCAGTAGGCGTGCAGGGCAGCAGAAGAGGGAAGTGGAGTCGGTCTTTCGTGCTCCGATAACCAATCACATCTCATAGCTCATTCCCTCAACCAATCACAGCAGCGCATTTGTCACCACCTGATGTTTGCAAGACGACAAACTTTTTGGTGTTTATCCACAAAACTACCTCCATTTTCTCTCTGGCAAGAAGATTGATTTACCTAAACTTTATCAAGAAAAACAACTGGCCGTTTGACCTTGTCGATTCATCTGATTGAGATTAGTTGTTGTCTTCTTTGCACAATACCACGTGTTTTATCAGGATGTTTGATTCCTGTGTCAAAGCTGTGCTCATGTGATAATGTTTTCCTTGTCACAAAGGTGCCTTACTTTTCGTGATTTCACTGCCACTTCAACGATGTCAGCAGAGTTTATGTGTTAAGGAGCCACGTTGTGTGCAGTTAGTCGGCCCCGGCTGCACGTGTTTGGTGAAATTATCAGAGCGCGCACGAGGCACGCGCGCACCTATTGCTCGGGCAACCAGGCACGAGACCTCTAGTCAGGTTACCGGAGGACCGGGACAGACTGCGGAGAGATGGAGTTTGAGGAGTCCGGTATCGGGGAGGAGTGCGGGGTTTTCGGGTGTGTGGCTGCCGGAGAGTGGCCCACGCAGCTGGAGGTGGCGCAGGTCTTGAGTCTGGGACTTGTGGCGTTGCAGCACAGGTGAGTAACAAAAAAAGTGTGTGTACACTTGAAACGTGAGTGTAAAAAATCAAAATAACAGATAAAGTTAAACAGAAGCCATGTCTAGAGCTATATTAGGGACAAACTGTGCAACCTAAACCTCCTTTTGGTAAATCACATGGGCTAAAATAGCTTAGCTTAACTCCTGAGTCAAGTTGAAGAGGAAATAGGGGTTTTTAACTCTTCTGCTGAGTATTGCCTGAATTAACGTTAATCAATTAATCGCATTGCCTATGAAATGTCAGAAAATAGAAGGGAATAAAACTCTGATAATTTCCCACAAACCAAGAATATATATATATATTAACTTGCTTGTTAAATTCAACCAATAGTCCAAAAGATTTTTAACTTATCATAAATGAGTCACATTTAAGATGTTGATTAAAATGATGACTCAGTTAGCAAATGTTCTGTTGATCAACTAACTAATCACTAACTAATCATTGATCAACTTCTTCATGGACTAGTTGTTGCAGCTTTGACAGTCTCTTCAAAAAGGCAGAAAGAAGCTGTATAGTTTTTGAGTTCACAGCAGCATCATGTCTTTTCTGGACCCTGTGGAAGAATAATTTCTTCCATTTACCTTGGTTGCCTAGTGTTTTGTACAATTTATCACACGGGATTAGTAGATATTACCTGTCTGTCTGGAGATGGACTGGGGGAGGCCATTGACCGGACTGAATTGATCTTTATTATCGGGATATGTTCCTGCTCTTCTTTATACCGTGCCTTCATGTTATTGGCAAAGGTAGAGCCAGTGTCCAGTTTTTTTACCAGTGTCTGGAGTGTGGGGTCTGGAAAAAGGAACAAAGGCAAATTCAGATTATTATGCTTGCATTACCCGAATGCTGTTACTTATAAAAAGTAATGCTAATACAACATTTCATATGAGCAAAGTTTCTTTTTCTCTTGGCCTGATAGTGGACTTCATCATGAGTCGTGCCTTTGGTCAGCAGTTCCAGCCGTACCCTAATCCATAATGTCATTATGAGGCTCCACGGCAGATCATGGGACTGAGTCCGAAATTGCAAAATGCTTCAGTCAATTAATGTGACATACAAAGTGATTACAAAGGAAGACACATTTCAGACCTTGATCTATGGCTTTCCTCTTCATTCTTCTGTTTGCTGAATAGGTTTCTTCTCTTTCTGCCCTAGTTTCTGAGGAGCCTGCAAACAACATAAAACAGTTACAAGACAGCAGGCCTTTCTTTAAACAGCATGTTTTCACATGTTTAAATTGAGTTGGAAGGACAGACTTGTGACTCCCTCAAACTAAATAAGAGCTGCCTCGCCGCCAAGGGATAACTTACAGACCTAGAGGCTGTCTGGGGGGGGTATTGATAGATTTTTATTATCATAACACTGATAAATCTTAAAAGTTTACCATCAGTGGTTACACTATTACTTCACTGAATGGAAATGCATCCAAAAATTTCTTTAATTAAGATTTAAAGGGTCAGTTTGTCCAAATTACAACATATTTGACAGAGATTTCTATTTTCCTCCCAACACAATGGAAGCGAATGGGATTCTCTTTGTGGCTCTCCCTGCATTGGAGAGAAGAAGAAACATTAAATGTTGTCTTTGTGACTCAGGATAATCCACATTGGAACTACTTTCCACTGGAAAAAGTAGTCCCTATAAAAACATTTCACAGTGGGGAGAACTGACCGACCCTTTTATATGCCCTTATTGGTTGATGTTTGGGAGATCATAAGTTCAATCTAAGTGATGGAACATTTGAATTTTGAATGTGAGTTGATGACAGTCCTTCTGAAGACGTAAGAGATGTTAAGTCAAAACAAAGCTGGGCTGTTTCTGGCTGCTGTGTCTCTGCTTCTGTAGGTTTTCTTAATACATTTTGTTAATTGATGGTACTGAATTGTTTTCATCAAACACCTGCCCACCAGACATGAATAAATAAAGGCTCACTCGTTAATCTGTGCTGTTGATCCAAGCGAAGCTCCTGGACTATGTGCATTCTCGGTTCTTCTTCATTTGGCATAACATCGAGGCTTATAGACGAGACGGAATCAGGGCTACAAGTTCTTTCCTCCATCGCTCCCGCCATTGTGGTCGCAGTGTTCATCTTTGTCAAATAGACATCTACGCGATCGTTCTCACAGTCCTCCGATGTGCCAAGCCTGCCCGAATTGGCTTGATAGTCTACAGCTCCTGTGTCATGCGGTGAGCCGTTAGTTGTGCGATTCATAATGGCATCCACCTCATCGTAGAACCTCATCAGGCGTCTTGGGTCGGCTTCATCAGTCTTCCCTCTTTGTAGTGAACGGTAAAGGTACTTAAGGTTTTTGTACTTGGTGTGGCACTGTTTCCAGTCGCGTTCAATGCCTTGTTGCATTAACCTGTTGGAGATCTGGACAAAGATGTCCCTCTTTCTCGTCGAGCTCTCCAACTGTCTGCACACGCGCTCATCGGACCAGACCTGGACCAGCGCTCGCACCTCCTGGTCGCTCCAGTTTCGACCTGTGTCCGACACTGTGACCACGTGGAACTGGTCAGAGCTGGATGGGTCTGTGAGTGTTAGATGGGCATCTGGAGGGAATAAAAATAGATTGAGGAAAGAGAAGACGCATACTGTACGCTGCACATGTTATTGATGTGGCTTACCTGTTCCTCTCCATTTTACTTCCATGTCTCCGTCCATATCGTAGTCATCACTGTTGTCATCTGAAAATAAAAAAGGTAGTAGAAAAATGTTGCGTTCTTTAAGCCTTGTACACAAAACTGCTAAATGCAATGCAGACTGACAACATACCGTCATCGATTTCAATGACAACCTCGCTTTCTGAGGCTGTTGTCTGTGCTGGGGTTTGTATTCTCCCTGCTCCCATTTCTCCATCATACAGCTTCTTCTGCATCTCCACGGTCCCGTTTTCCAGTCCCCGGTCCAGCAGAATGGCCTCCACCTCATCGAAGAACTTCATGTACTTGCCCGGACCCCCTGCGCTGCTGCCTCCAGCAGCATGAGCACTCTTAGCGGTCTTATAGTCATATTTCAAGTTCTTGTATTTTGTCCGACATTGTTTCCAGTTGCGTACCACCCCAAAGTTTCTCTGCATCTGACGGGCCATCTCTTGGAAGATGGATTTGTTGCGTAGCGTGCACTTCAAGCGCTCTCGAATCCGCCGGTCAGCCCAGACGCACAACAGTGCTCGCACCTCATCATCTGTCCAGTGGCGGCCCCCCTCTTCAGCCACAGTTGGAGCGTAAGGAAGAGCCCGGTGGATTCGACTCCTGATACCTGCGCACACACGCACACACAAACACACACTGGGTTTTCTTTGGCTCAGTTTTGATTTAAATAAAATAAGATGGAGCTTGTATCAAAATGCTTTTATCTAATCTGACTTTAGACTGCATTTAAATTGTTTTGAGCAGGCAAAAGTCTTAATTTCTACTCAACTTTGAGGATAAAATTAGTTTGACTGACATGCATGTTTATCTTCTGTCTGTTGAGGAATTACAAAAATGTGCTGAGCGTTGTGATACGTCGTGATCATCAGCACTACATTTGGAGTCGAACCTACATTTACCTTCCTGCATTGGGATAGTGACTGAGGAAGGGTAGATCCCTCTTTGATTACCCACATCTTCCACCTCTTCCTCCCAGCCCTCCACTGGCCTTCCATCCATTCCTGGGCTGTAGTTTGCTGAAGTGCCTGCTGCTGCGTCAGGCTTCCTGCTCTGAAGTCCCAGGCTCCTGCACTTGGCCTGACACTCCCACCAGCTGCGCACAACACTAAGCCTCCTCAGACGCTCTGAGATCAACTCAAATGTGGTTCTGCTCTCAGCTACGTGCTGAGCTCCCACCTCGTCCCACACTGACATGAGAGCCAGCACCTCTGCCTCCCCCCACTGCCTCTCCACCGAGCCTTTTTCCTCTACAACCTCCCTATCACCTCCTCTTTGTCTCTCTGCTCCTCTCTCCATGTTTGAGCTGACCTGGAAACGCTTTCTTTTCCCCAATCCGTCTGTCTGCTGCCCGGTTCCCTAGGCAACCAGGCGGTTAAGCCTGAAAGCAACGCCTCCGTGCAGAAAAGCAGCCTCACCACTGGCTTAAGCTGTGTGCTGAGGAGGCGGGACCAACTGTAATCCGAGAAGCAGCTTGGTAAATAGGCTGAAACTGCAGCAAGACGACTCTCCATATATGGCAGCCGAGAGGCAGACGTTTCTTTCTTTTTCTCCTGCTTTATTTTCCCCGAATCAAACCAGTTTGATTTGCCTCAAGGCTCACATCAAGCTTTTAGGCATTGAACAAGTTTATTCATGTTTAGTCCTGAAGAGACTTGAGAAATCACTCACTCTAAAACTCACCTCCCACTGATTTATTTATACAACTTACATGTGGTGGTTGTTGTTTGTGTCTACTCAGGGGTCAGGAAAGTGCCGGGATTGTCACAAGTAATGGAGCCAGTCCGCCCACATACACAGCCCACAAGGTAACATCGATCATGACTAGAAGCCACTTGTATAATTATAGAAAGAAGAATAGTTTCACTGATACAGTCAAAACACATTATTTAAATACAGGAAACATTTCAGCTGCTTTTCATTAAAGGTGCACCATAAATAAAAGGTCATCATTAGAGCTACACACATGTACACACAGACCGTTACATTGAGCATTACTATAATTGTTGTTTAGGGCTCTTAGGACTATTTACATTTATTTTTTGTGCAGACTGAAAACACCCAACTGATTCCTCTTGCCATTTGCTGTCTTTCTTTTTTTAAGGGAATGGGATTAGTGAACACTGCTTTCCCAGCCGAGGCTCTTCTGAAGCTGCGCTATGGTAACCTCGGTATTTGTCACACACGCTATTCAACTACTGGGAACTCTGAGTTGCAGAACTGCCAGCCCTTTGTGGTGGATACACTGCATGGCAAGATTGCTGTAGCACACAATGGAGAGCTGGTTAATGCTCATGCCCTGCGGAAAAAGGTGAGGATGGCCCCTTAACTCGTTCTCACCGAACTTGTTGCATGTCAGTGGCTCTTCCCAGATAATCTCTGTTCAACCACAAAATAAACATAAGACAAACCAGGCCTCTATATCCAGTGTGTATAACAGCTATTTAATTGGGGGGGGGGTGAGAGAGAGAATCTTTTTCTCTAAGTATTCAAGTAAACATGCAAAAACAATGGACATTAACCTGCATGACTGACATTTCTGTGTATTTACTGAATCAATGATTGTGTCTGTGCCGTGCAGGTAATGCGCCATGGTGTAGGCCTCTCCACCAGCTCAGACAGCGAGCTCATCACCCAACTGCTGGCATTTACTCCACCTATGGAGGAGCTGGATGCACCAGACTGGGTTGCCAGGTCAGTGTTTGGGCTTGATGCTGTATAAAAATTAATTATTTTCTCTAGACTATTTAAATACCCACTTTTTTTGTTATGCAGAATAAAAAATCTGATGACTGAGACCCCTACATCATACTCATTGTTGGTGATGTTCAAAGATGTTATCTATGCGGTGCGTGATCCATACGGAAATCGTCCCCTCTGCATAGGGCGGCTTGTTCCAATCTCTAAACTGCACAGTTCAGGTATTTTATTTGGCTGAATTGATTTGCCAGCCTTTGATTTGGTCAGAGGTCAGATGTGTAAGCTGGTGGATGATTAACGTCATTGTTTGTCCCTTTGGACAGGAGCTGGAGAGGAGGACACCGAGGGGTGGGTTGTGTCATCAGAGTCCTGCAGTTTCCAGTCAATTGGTGCCAGGTCAGATTTTTACAACATATGTAATGCTTTGGCATTATAATGGAAGTGTGGGTAATGACCATTTCGATGTCTGTCCTGGTTCTCAGGTATTACAGAGAGGTCTTACCAGGAGAGATAGTCCAGATATCCAAGCACGGGGTCAAGTCTCTAAGTGTTGTCCCTCGCCCTGAGGGAGACCTCCCAGCCTTCTGCATATTTGAATATGTTTACTTTGCCAGACCAGACTCAATTTTTGAAGGTTTGAATATTTATTCTGGGTCATCGTTTTACACCACTCTGTTCTTAACTGTTCCCTGAGTGAAA